ACTGTGAATTATCTGAGAACAGGCATGAATTTGCCTGGTTTACTCATCTTGCTTCAATGCGAAGAAGACTCATAAGAACATAAGCAGAGCCCTGCTGGATCAGGCCAAGGGCCCATCTAGTCCAACTCCCTGTATCTCACGGGGACCCCACTAGAGGGCTCGGGAAGCACACGAGACCACTAGATCCCTGTCTCCTCAGAGGGCTCTGGGAGCACATGAGACCACTAGAGACCTGTTTCCTGACCGACCTCCCCTATCTCTGGCATTTGGAAGTCCCTTCCTTCTAAATCTGGAGATTATACATCCCCATCATGCATTAAAGTAGGATGTAGAGTCGTTGCTGACCGGCCAGCTGGGCAGTACTGGGCGTCTTCCTGCCGCTAGTGACAGGGCAGCAGCTTGTCTCCTTGGCACCCAGTGAAAATGCAGCGCCAGGAGGTGCCTCCTGGCAAAACCACACCACTAGGCTGGCCAGTGCTGACGTGCCCAGAAAGCCTCCCAGCACTGGCAGGGCTACATCGCTGTTCTTGACTGAGGGGCAGCTCCAGTGGCTCTGTTTTTTGCTTCAGGTCTAGCCCTGATCCTGGTGCTGCCTGTAGCTGGGAAGCTTCGGAGCACTGGCCAGCTGGCAACAGAAGTCCTAGAATGGTTTTTTAAAAATGCACATTGGCACTATTTTTAAATTTCACCGGGGCTTGTGTTGCGCGCTGTGTGACCCACGTTGCTTCAGATTCCCTTCCCCTTCGTCCAGTCTGTGCAGCTGCAGCTCAGATTTTACAAAGATTGCCTTCTACGAAGAACGAGCGTATAAACATCGCATTTAGAAATGGGTTCCCCGATCTTGCAGAGTTTGGTATGATAGCTGGAGCCTTCTGAGAATCCCAAGAAGTAACTTTGCCAAGTTCTGCCTTCTTGTACATTCTGGCCATTGATTGAGAGAATTAACTTCTCACTGAGCTGTTTAAATTTGGCCCCCTCGGCATTGCTTCTTATCTTCCGCTGTGCCCACCTCTTCCCTCGCTTGCCCTTCTCCTCCAGCTTCTGAACGGAAGACTTTGAGGCCTTTTGTGCCTGAGGTATTCCCAGAGGAGCAGCCATTTTGTCCCACCCGCGCTGCTCTGCATTGTGTGACTGCCTCAATGATGCAGAAGAGCACTCATCCTGCCAGGTGTGAGCCCACACGCTTGTGTTGTGGTCAGCACCACCCAACTTGGCTTCCGTCTTGTAAAATCACAGCTTGTGTTAAAATAGGGATTCTTTCTGTCACCTCTGTACACTCTACTGAGCCCCACAGTTCAGTGGGTTTCCGTTGGGGTTACCTGGGTCAGTAGCATTTGTTTGTTTGTATGATATGTCAATAACAATAATGATCATGTGCTACCAAGTCAACCCTGACCCTTTTCAAGAAATTCAGAAGTGGTTTCCCACTCCCGTCATCCGGGGGCATTGCTGGCACAGGGCAGCTTGCCCAAGGCCACCCAGGCTGGCTCTTCTCTCAGGAGGCACAGTGGGGGAATTGAACTCTTAACTCTGACTCTGCAGACAAACACCTGAACCACCGAGCTATCAGCCAATTATGGTATATCAGCATTCCTCTTAAGACCAGGACTCAAGATGGCTTACAATCTAGTTTTAAAACCCTCCAGAATTGCTAAAAACATAAGGGCCAAGATTCCATGACTGGCTTGAGGTAGAGAGCAGACCCATTGAATCAACTGCTGAACATTAGGGTGACACTCATGTAAATCCTGTTAAATCAGTGGGTCTACTCTAAAGGGGACTAGCAATTGGATACTGGCCCATAAAGGCAACTAATAAAAGATAATTATACTGTTCACATCAAAACACTCTGGTAACCTCTCAGTGAAAAGTATATAATTTTTCTTTACAGATACTGTACCATGGGCTGCCAAAAAACAAAGGAGGGGCTAGAATGAAATCAAGCTGGAACTGTCTCTGGAAGAAAAAAACGACCACAACAAATCTGTCCTGCTTTGGGCACATCAGGGGAAAACACAAAAGATGGCCATGCTAGGAAACTGAAGACAGCAACCAAAAAGAAGACGTAACTTGAGATGGGCTGATGCAATAAAGGACGTCACAGCCTTCTATTTGCAGGTCTGTTAATGACTGGACCTCATCGAGGTCACATTACTCATGGCTTTGCTGTAAGTCAGAAGCGGTTTAACAATACACAAAAATAACAAGGTTGCACAAATATATACAACACACCTACAGCTTCTTTCATTATGAGCCAGTTGGGTCCTAGTGCCAGCTGGGAATAGGTGAAAATCAATCAATGAATCAATGAATCAATGAATCAATCAATCAATGAATCAATCAATGAATCAATCAATCTCTGTGTGTTGTTGTTGTTTTTGTTGTTGTTGTTGTCGTGTGCCATCAATTCGCCTCTGATTTATGTCAGCCCTCTGAATAAGCAATTTCCAAAAATGTCCTGACCTCAATTGCCCTGCTCAGCTCTTCTAAACTCAAACCTGTGGGTTCCTTTAGGGAGTCTGTCCATCTCGTATTTGGTCTTCCTCTTTTCCTGCTGCTTTCTACCTTTCTCAGCATTACTTCAGGCTTCATTTTATCTACGACCCACTTATTTGTTTTTCTGGCAGTCCAAGGTATAGGCAAAGCCTATATAGAAATCAAATATAGAAATAAATAACGTGGGGGGAAAAGAAGGCAAGGAAACTCTGTTCTCTCTGCTGAATCATGCACCACATTTCAAACAAATCATTTTTTATCCTGTCAGCTTTCTTTACAGTCCAACCTTCCTAGATGGTGATTGGGAATACCATAGTGTGGATTATCTTGGTCTTTGTCTCCAGTGACACATCCTTATAGCTGATGATCTTTTCTAATTCCTTCATTGCCGCCCGTCCTAGTTTCAGTCTTCTTCTGATTTCTTGGCTGCAATCTCCCCTGGATTGATGATTGAACTACTGTACAAAATCTCTGACTATTTCAGTTTCTTCACTGTCAACACTAAAGCTGTGTAATTCTTCTGTAGTTATCATTTTTGTCTTAATATCCATTGGCAGTCCTGCTTTGGCATGTTCTTTTCCCACTTTCACGTCATTGCCGCATTCTGCCCGTAAGAGGGTATCCTCTGTATATCATAAATTGTTGATGTTTCTCCACCAATTTTCAGTCGTCCTCCTTCTGAATCTGGTCCACCTTTCTGTATAATATGTTCTGCACACAGATTGAACAGATAAGGAGATAAAATGCACCCTTGTCTGGTACCTTTGCCTATTGTGTCTCTCCATATTTTGTCCTAATGATAGTTTCCTGTCCATGATATACTTTACACATCAGGGCAGTCACAGGCTGCAGCACAACCATTTCTCATCATCTACACAATCATAGGTTTGCTGTAGTTTATAAAGCATAGAGAGATCTTCTGAAATTCTTTGGTGCTTTCTAGAACTCCACATTCTTCATCATAGGATTCTATATATGGCACATAATGTAGGCTACACATTCTGTGCACAGTACATTAAAATAATCCTGCACACACATACAAAAGCAGACGTTTTAGCAGCAGCAGTAGTTACCATCAGTCGCTCCCCCCCAGAGGCCTCCAGATGACATTGTTGGTCATTGAAAGGCTATTTTGGCCCATTCTCCAGGCGTGTTTCAAGTTCAATCTCTTATTCTTTTCAACACTTGTGCTGAGTTGCTCTCAAAGCCCCTCCACACATACACACCAATAAGGGCTGGCCAACCCCCACAAAAAAACAACAACACCCTTTTGAATCCCACAGCTGTGGCAGCTCAAACGCGAGAGGTGGCACTTTTCTGAAGAACCAGAACTATAGCACTTTTCAGAGGTGTCTGTTGTTGCACATTGGGCTGTGTGGAACCCAAAAGATTCTTTATACAATTTTTGAAAGTGTAAGGCAAGCTTGAATATGACCACCTATATTACTGCGGTACTTATCCAAGAGTTCTGGATTACAACTTCCAGCAGTGGCCAGCCAGCACGGCCTCTGTCCTCCTGGCTCAGTGACTAAAAGAACGGCAGTCCATTCTTTAATCCTAAATTCTGTTATCTGTCATTCCTCAGGAAGTTGGGACTGGTTGCAGTGGCCGAGGGCAGGAGGAGAGCTTTTCTGCCCCCTGAGCTGTATAAACTGCCACAACTTCAGATTCTCTTTACCTGGACTTTGGGCCAGAGGAGGGAATGCCGTCCGGTGCTCTGTCTTGGCTACATCATGCCTTGAGGTGCCCTCAGCTGTGGCTCCAGAAAGGTTCAATTTGTTGACGTGTCATGTGCCAAACAGTCTCAATCAACAGATTGTTGAGCAGCGAAACAACCCCCCCAGCCATGCTACATAGCCTGCCTTTCCCTCTTCTTTCCAACTCTTAAAGTATCTTCTTTTGCCTCATGTAGTAGCTTCATTGTTTAACAACAACAACAACAACAGTAGTAGTATAATAATAATAATAATAATAATAATAATAATAATAATAATAATAATAATAATAATAATAATAATAATAATAATAATAATAATAATAATAATAATAATAATAATAATAATAATAATAATAATAATAATAAATGTGCTGTCCATTCTGACTTATGGTGACCCTTTTCAGTGTTTTCTCTGGTAGAATACTCAGAAGTGGTTTACCAATTCCTTGCTCTGAGGGCTCCCTGGGATTGTGCACCTGGCCCAAGGCTACCTAGGCTGGCTCTCCTTGCAGGAGGCACAGTGGGGTATTGAACTCCTAGCCTCTAACTCCACAGTCAGGTACCTGATAAACTATGCAGCCAACCACTTCGTTGTTTACAACTTCAGAATGAATCCTGCCATAGGAAAGCAGAGAAGGGCATCCTTTGGCATCTCTCTCAGAGGAACGGGGATGCAGACTCTCCTTCTGCTCCCCCCTCACTGACACTTTCTCGCCTTCATTCTTCTCACTTGGTCGCTGAGTGTGGAAACATCTGCTGTTTCATTTCTGGTTTGTGCAATGTGTCCCCATTTGTTGGTGGAAGCAGAAGCGGCGGCTCGTTCTTTCGTGACGTCTTGCCGGCCCCTGTCTCCAGTCAATCGCAAGAGAAGACGAGCAAGCCGAGACACACGTTCGAGCGTCTGGGATGGTGAAGACGCCCCAAGGACTATTATTGCTTGCCAAACGTGACTGAGATATGGATAAGAAGGTAAGAAAGGATTGTGTAGAGCCTAGAAGCTGTTTGAGGTTTGAAGGGTTAGGCATCTGGCTGTGAGCTGGACAGTGGGAGTTTTTACTCCTCTACCTTGCCTCTTTGAGCGGGACTGGACTGCATGATCCATAGGCTTCCTTCCAGCACTGCAGTTCTAAAATTATTATTTATTATTCCATGACAGACTGGAGGGGTGCCTGAGCATTTGCAAATGTGGAAAGAAGTGGCCAGCGTGGTTCCGAAGTCTCGGCTGGGATTTGAGAGATTCAAGTCTTTAATGGGCTGTGGAAATGACTAGGTGATCTTGGGCCAGTCCGTCTTTCGCTGCCTGACCTATTCCACAGGATTCTTGTGCAGATTGTGTCGGGCTAGGGAAGAACCATATTCTCTGCCTGGAGCTCATTGGAGGAAAAGCGATACATAAACATACCCAATACTTATATGATAATGGGCAGATGGATGAGAGACGGAGACGTCTCTTTGTTCATTTTGAGATCTTGGCCGTTCTTTATAAGTACATCGATAAATGCTAGCTTTCTTCCATCACAGAACTCAAGTTGATAAAACATTTGGTCTCCTTGGTAGCCTCCCATCAAAAGGACAGACTGCAAAGAGAGCTGTACCGTGTGTACTCAGGACTACACGCTTCCTAAATGTTATTGCTTGATATTTCCCAGGAAAAGAAAAGAGGAACATGTAGATTGGGGGTCCGAAGAAGGGTAGAATCCGTTGTCGTAGAGAGGAGGACGCTCTTCCAAGTAAAACGAAGTAGCGTAGGGTCATCCAAAGGTCAGGAAACCAAGAAAGACTGGTGGGACACTGGGAAAAATCTAAGGGGGCTTGGTGTTTTTTGTAGCTCCAAGGAGCTCTTGGAGAAGTAAGTGTGGGGTTTTTTTGGGACTAAAATCCTACAACTGTCTTAGCAGGGAAATTCTAGAACTTGTAGACCAAAGCTCTAGTGATTGGACATTTCTCAACTCCAGTACTTTTGTGATGTGTAATGTCCTATCAAATAAATGCTTCTGGTCAAGTTCCCAAATAGCAGCATCCAATACGTACAGCTTTCACCTGCATTCGAATGTCTCATTTTGCTTTTCTAGCTGGCAATGCCCATTTTCATGCCTACTAAGCATGCTAAGCTCTCCCTGGGCTGCTTCACAAACTCTCCCTCCTCATGAATATTTCAAGCCTATTCAAAGATATTTGGCACTTCTGAAAACCTTGCGTTTTCTTCAGGCCTGCTCCTACCTCCTTCTGATTTCTCAGTGGCCCTTGATCAGGTCACAGTGCTGTTGTTACCAACCCTATGAGCTGAGTATTAGGAGGAGTGATGAAAAACGGTGATATCTGAGAACGCACTGTCCAAAACGCACAAAAGATGCAGTTATACTTGGCCCTACTGAATGCATGGGCCATCTGTGAATTTTATTTTTTAATACTTTTTTTTATTTGAACATATCTACAAACAACAACAAAATACAGTATACAAAAATTTAAAAAATCCCCCCTCCCCCCTTTTGAGGACAGAGATGCCAAGCTCATTTAAGTCCCAAATTTCGCAAGTTTCCAGAGAGCATTGAAAAAACACTTAAATCATTTTTCTCTAAGCTTTGATCTGTCCCTGGGCCCAAACATATATTAAGTTCCAGCTTTGTTTTGCATAATACCTTGGTTGTTCTCGTAGTGCTTCTAAGAGTGTGTCAAGTTCTGTGATATCCAACAGCTTCTTCAGGAACTCCTCCTTCGGCGTAGGTGTATTTTCACTTTTCCATTTTTGGGCCCAAAAATGTATATATTTGTAGCCGCTACAAATATATACATCAAACAATATTTAATTTTCTTATCAGTAATTTCTGGCTTAATATTTAGTAGTGCTATTTCAGGTTTAAAATTTAATTTCTGTTGAGTGACTCCTTTTATTATTTCCCACAGCTGTAACCAATAACCCTTGGCTTTTTCACATGTCAATCACATATGATAATAAGTTCCCGCTTTTTCTTTTACATTTCCAACAAATATTGCTGCTACCCTCTGACATTTTTGCCAACTTTACAGGGGTGCGGTGCCATCTATAAAACATTTTGAGGATATTTTCTCTTAAGTTTACCGGCGTAATCATTTTATAACACTCTTGGCCACCTCACCTGTGAATTTTCGATCGTGTTACATTCCTGTGGATCAGCATTGGTTCTATGCTTCCAGGAAAGAAAGGGCTGTCTCTCTGTCTTGAAGAATGCACAGTTAAGGTTGCTGAGGCACCATTACAAAGGTCCGAATTGTTTTAAAAAACTTACCTGAGTTAATTATAGATGTGATGCAGCACGGTGGTTAACCATGTGCGCTCAGTTCTTGGGTAAAATCGCATCTCAACCGCAAACTCACAGAAGGAACTTACAACCAGCCGTGCTTCGGTGTCAGCTGTCTTTCTCACAGCCCACGGCCATGTGCATCACTGAGTTAATGATATTGTTGGCCTACCTTTTTTGTCCTTTTAGGCAGTCTTTCTCATGATGAAAGGCCCACATGGTTATTGCTACTGGACTGTAAAGCTCTCTAAAGAGCCAAAACACTTTGTATTGTATATATTGTTTTCCCTTCCTGAGCCTTGAAAAACAGCTAGAAGTGTGCTAGAAGAGAGGCCTGGAAGGAACAGATACGAAGCCGGGCTTTCTCGGCGGTGGCTCCTCGCCTCTGGAACAATCTCCCTCCTGAGATCCGCGTGGCCCCCACTTTGGGCACTTTTAAAAGTAAATTAAAAACATGGGTATTCATTCAGGCCTTCCCTCCAGTTAATATCTGACTTTTCTGCAGTATGATTTATGTAATTTTCTCTATTCTATCGTTGTATTGTGTATATTACAGTATGATTTATGTAATTTTCTTGTGTTATTTTATTGTTCTTATTATATTGGAAGGGGCCTAGAGTGGTCTTTTAGATCAGATGGGTGGGGTATAAATAAATAAAATAAAATAAATCTGTAGGTTTGGACATCTATAATTCTACAGGAAGTCCAGAAATGCAAGGCTCACACCCTTAGAAACAGTTGATGGCCCATCATAAGATGTTGTTTATGTAACAACTGGGCCGGCCTGGCCCTCTGATTAGGTAGTTGCCTTAGGGCCAAATTTGACAATAATGTCAACATGTCATTAGAAAGAAAACTCTCTTAAGAGGAAAGCCCTGTCTCTTTACTCTAGCGCGATCTCGCCTTCATCCACATTGGACATATCAGCCTGCTAGTACCACGGTACAGCTCGGTTTGCATCTCTGACGTTTCAGGCATGTAGCGCTGAAAGACTTGCATGCCTGGAGACATAACACAGCAAGAGGACGAAGTCTGCATTTATCTTAACATGCGATCTGACCTTCAGGTGGAAAGTTTGTTAATTAGGTTTGTTATTTGGTTGTCAAGGTGGCAGAACTGTAGGACTTTCTGCCTCAGGAACTAGGAGAGAAAAACACACAACTCGATGTGGTTGTGTGTGTGTGTGGGCAAAGTCTCTAAGATAATGGGAGACTGAAATTTTTTCCCAATGGGTAGCACTTCCTATAACCTATTTCCCTTTGTTTTTATTTGTTTATTTTCCCCTAGAATCCCACACCTGAAATATCGGATACGATTTATTTAAAATGCGATGAAACAGGTAAGGTATATTTAAGATCTTGGTATGAAATGCTATCATCAGCTAGAGAGACTATAGGCTGAAGGCAACCCCTAGGGACTCAAAGGTGGTCATTAGTCATCCATGCACCCTCCCACCCCTCGATTCTCACACAGAAGGATGGGGGTAAGGAGTTGGACAGGGTTTTAAAAGAGGACCAGCAACCTCCCTTCACCTCCCACTTGGCACCATCGTGGCATCAAACTCTTCTCTCCCTGGAGAGAGATTTTTCTCGCAGACTCCACATGTCTGCTTGAGTGAGAGATACCAGCCATGGATCTCTCTAACTGAAAAGAATTATTTTTAAAAAAGATATGCATTGACTTTAACCGAAGAAAATTAAGTGGGGATTACAGGGGACATGGTACAAAAAGCCCTTCAAGACCTGTCTATGTAGAACTGGTGAGGTTATGTAAAGGAAAGCATTTATGCATGCCGTTGTCATGTGCCGACAATTCACTAACATGGTTTTTGACAGATGAGAGCTGCACCCTAGTGATTTCTATGGATGAGAGCGGGATTTCAACCCGCTCTCCTGAACCTTGCTTGACACCACGTCTAAGGGACGTGGTGGTGCTGCAGGTTAAAGGTCAGAAGCCTCTGTGCTGCAGGGTTAGAAGACCAGCAGTCGTAAGATTGAATCCACGCAATGGAGTGAGCTCCCGTCGCTTGTCCCAGCTCCCGCCAACCTAGCCGTTCAAAAGCATGCAAAAATGCAAGTAGATAAATAGGTACCACCTCAGTGGGAAGGTCACGGCGTTCCGTGACTAGTTGCACTGGCCATGTGACCACGGAAACTGTCTTCGGACAAAACGCTGTCTCTACAACTTGGAGACGGGGATGAGCATCGCACCCTAGAGTCGGACAGGACTGGACTAAATGTCAAGGGGAACCTTTACCTTACCTTACTCCCGAGTTCTGCTTTAAAGCTCTATTCACGACATCACACTGGCAACCCTGCTTTCATGGCTAGTTATTAGCCGCCTTATGGTTTCTTTAAAGAATGGCTCGTCACAATGTGAATCGGTGTACCACCATCCAACCCACCCACCTGTTTGGGAGTAGGGAGAAAGGTAGAGGTCCTGCTGCCTCCTCACTTCGGCTCCAAGCCATAAGGTGGAGTGCTAGCTGAAAACCGAGGAATGGCTGGTGCTGCAGTGCTGCAGTGCCAGCCGAAGTCAGATTGTAGGCCAGAGACAAAAACCAAGACACTGCTCGCCCCTCTTTCAGTGAACAGGAGCTAGCAAGATGAGCAACTGAGCCTTATTTCAAACCCAGTGAGCAAACCCCTCCAATGACAGGAGAATGGCCAAAAGGCTCACAAACAAGACCTGGCAGGCTGGCCCAGCCACCTCACACTGCCTAATGGTAGGGCCGGCCTGATGAGGCTAAGATGGATGTAACAATGGGAAAAGGCGGGACTGGCCTGCCCGACACTCATGATAATGTAACTGGTTGCAGAATGTACACTCTCACTGGGGGTATCCATCGGTGCAGCAACTGTGATCTTCCTGCTGGTCTTGACGATCCTTATTCTGTCCATTTGCCTTTGCCGTGTCTGCAGAAAACGTGAGTAACCAACAGGTAGTGACTGAATACTTGGGAAGGGAAGGTTTAAGTTAAGGGGATAGGCCATGAAGCCTTCTGAAGAACTCCTAGGAAGGAAGTTGACTTTCCCAGTTTTAAAAACAGAACAAAATCAATTAATTTTTAATGAAAAACTGGAGTGAGCTGAGGATAACTAGTTAGTCATGTGCCATGAAGGCGGACTCAACTTATTGATTGATTGATTGATTGATTGATTGATTGATTGATTGATTGATTGATTGATTGATTGATTGGATTTCTATCCCACCCATCTAGACCAAAGGTCTACTCTGGCCACCCTAAGAAGACTTTCAAGGTTAGTGAGATATTTTAGGAGTGGTTTTTACCAGTTCGACTCCCTCAGTGAATTTTCATGGCTGAGTGGGGATTCAAACTCAGGCCTCATGAGTCCCCTAGTCCATCGCTCTGTCCACTGGGATGCTCATGTGAAAACTTCAAAAAATAGGCAACATGTTTTCTTCTAGTGGGGCACATTCTGAACAGGCCCCAATAATTCCGAACAATTGTAAAAGGTCTGAACTGCATGTTTATGGTTTGATTACTGATCATGTGGGACTCTCAAAAACAAAACAAAACAAAACAAACACAAAAATGCCAGGTGCAGCTGGGGAAGCAAAATCATCATTAGACTTGTAAAAGATATAGGGAAGAGGTTTAAGTGGAATTTGGAAAAGCTATTGCTTTTAACTTCTAGAATCCTCACCCCAGTATTGCCAATAGAAATTATAGTCCAAAAAAAGTAACTTTTCCAAGTTCAAGCACAGGGGAACAACCTCCTGTAAATAGGATGTGCCGTTTTGCCACTTCAAAAGCATAAGGACCACTTGCAAAGGGCAATGTCCACGGCCAAGTTTGTGACTGTGGAAGAGAAACAGCATTCTAAGAACAGACATTAGGGAAAATGAAAAAAGGGAAACTTACTGTTTATTTATTTAAGGCGTCTCGATATCACTGAACTGGCTAGACAGGTATCTGTTCATGAAGCCAGAAGTTGGGGGTTCGATTCCACACTGTTCCTGCAAGGAGAAGAGCCAGCCTGGGTGGCCTTGGGCCAGCTGCACCATCCCAAGATGTCCCCAGAAGAAAAAAGGGGACAGTCAATCACTTCTGAGTACTCGTTACCCACAGAACCCTGAAAATGGTTGCCATAAGTCAGAATTGACTGGACAACACACATTTGATATTATTTATTAGATTATTTATTAGATTACTATTAATAGATATGGTGATGATGGAGTTAATTGCCGAGAACAGGATATGGTCACCTGCACTGTTGAACTAGAAGTGGAGAGCGAGCCTTATATTTGTGCGATTGAAACAGAACACTAGCAAAGTGTATGAAGCAAGCAACGCATCATATGGACCTTCCATTCTCTCACAAAATAATATCACAAATATTAGATTTTAAGCTGGATATTTTGTTTTGTTTTTCCTTTGTGACATTACACTTTTTTGTTTCCTGCACAGTAAAGAAGAGAAAACTGACAGAGGTAAGTCCACAAGGAGGCACCATGAGGAGTGCTGATGGAGAGAGCCTACCACCTTGTCATTTCCTGAGGCATCAGAATCGCCCACAACCTCACAAGGGGACTTTTCTAAGCTCTGACCAGGCCAAATTCTCCTAAAGCTCCTCCTCATTTAGGAAATGACTTCCTCCTTGCTTCAGTTTCTTGTTTTCTTCAGCCTTTTTCTCAGCCCTCACATAACATGCTACGGACTAGAACCCCTCAGGTTCCTCTTTATCATCCTCTATGCTCTTCCTTCCCCCTTTCCCCCCCCTTTCTTCTTCCTGTCTCTTTCAACCATGAGGGAACAGCTGTGCCTGTTTTTAAACTCCCTTGAATATAAAGCAGACAGAGACAATATACAATTATTTTAACAGGACAGAAGCCCTTAATCCAATCCTCCTCCCCAGGGATAATGTACAAATAAACTGTAGTTTTATAATGTACAGTGTATTTGCACTGGCGCTGTGAGTTAAACCGCAGAAGCCTCTCTGCTTGCAAGGTCAGAAGACTAGCAGTCGTAAGATCGAATCCATGCATCGGAGTGAGCTCCCGTCACTTGTCCCAGCTCCTGCCAACCTAGCAGTTTGAAAGCATGTAAATGCAAGTAGATAAATAGGTACCGCCTCGGTGGGAAGGTCACAGTGTTCCGTGTCTAGTCGCGCTCCACGGAAACTGTCTTCGGACAAACACTGGCTCTATGGCTTGGAGATGGGGATGAGCACCGCCTCCTAGAGTCGGACACGACTGGACTAAATGTCAAGGGGAACCTTTACCTTTATCTTAATAATGTAAAAATAATGTACTCATGCAAACATAAATTACAGAATAGCCACATCATTCAAGTAAGGCCTGTGATGCAGCTTCTGGAGGTAGCCATTTTTGTCTCTTTGAGAGGAAAGACACCCAGTTAAGGGCACTATCCTGTGAGCAGCGTCAAAGTGAGATTCAACCAGATACTTGAAAAGTTACTTGTCGAACTACATATCCCAGATTTGCAGTGCACTTTAACTCCCGGCTATGCTTGCTGTGGGATTTTGGGAGTTGTAATCCAGTAAATGGATTTCCTAATTTCTGGATTCAACACTCCAGCTGGTCTTCCTTTCTCTCCATATTTCGGCTACCCACATGTTAGATATGGACGATCTCTCCCAAACTCCCCCATATCTAACATGGCCCTGCTGGCTGGGAGGGATTACAGGATGTGTAGTCTTTAAAAAGGAAATACTTTTCTTTTAGCGCAAATAACTGTGATCTCTTTCTCTCGATTCCTCCCCCCCCCATGCCAGGGTATGGATAAAGAGGATGTGGAGGAAGCGGATTTGCATTATGCTGAGCTGCAGAACCTCCCTGTCTCCAGCAGGGAGCAGTGTAATGGTGGCACGTGCACAGCAGCCCTAGCGGTGGCACCCAACAATGACTATGCCACTGTGGCAGAGCTGAAGGGACCCCAGGAAGAGGGCATCGATCAGGAGCCAAACCAGGACAACGGTGGGGATGATGGGGTGGAGGAGAACCAGCCGTGTGTGGAAATGGAGTGAGATTTCATTGCACTGGATTGGAGGAAGCGGCAGAGGGACGAGAACTACCTTTTGATGCAGATGGAGTATCTCCGGCGTTAAAATTCTGCCCCCAGAGGAGAATTCTGCAACCAGACTGCCGTGCAATAGGCAGGTTGTGTATGTTTGTAGGCATCTTTCTCCTGCCATCTAGCAATAAGAGCTGTGTGAATTTGTGTTTTTGCTTATCTCCAGGCAGCATAAGCAAAAGAGCTGCCATCTTTTCTACGTGTTCAGTTACAGCACCTGTTACGCCCAGCTATTGTCCATGTTGCCAGAAGGGGTGATAGGAATTCAGCACTAGCACAGTTGAATAATACATGTCGGGCATTGTCACTAAAACAGTAGACCTAAGAAAAGTTGCTATTTCAGATTGCAAATCCCAGAATCCCCAAACCAGCCTGGCTCAGGGCCTTGCTGGCTGGAACATTCCTGGACATTTAGTAAATGAGAATTAAATGTTTTGCGCACTGCAAAATGCAGACACTTTTTGAGACTGGTTGCTTTCCAGTTTTCCGGGCCAAAACAAAACAGAAATAAAAAAATAAAGGAGACAAAAATTTTGTGGCACCTTAAAGGAGCCTTATGGCACAGTGCTTAAGCTGCAATGCTGCAGTCAAGACCCTGCTCACAACCTGAGTTTGATTCCAATAGGCTCAGGTAGCTGGCTTGAAGTTGACTCAGCCTTCCATCCTTCTGAGGTCAGTAAATTGAGTACAGTGGTACCTTGCAAGACAACGACTCCGCTGAACAACGAATCTGCAGAACGATGACTTTTTGCGATCGCTATAACAATTCGCAAAACAGTCATCCCAATGACCGCTCAGAGTGGTATAAATATACCAGATGGGCGGGATATAAATCAAATAAATAAATAAATAAATAAATAAATTCGCTGGACGTCAATTAGGTCCGTGCTTTGCGAACCGTTCGTTCGCAAGATGGCGATTTTTTTGGCTTCGCAAAATGGATGCCCTGTGTTTTCCAGACCCATGCTTCGCAGGGCAGCCATTTTCACAGCTGATCGGCCGTCGCAAAGCGGCTTTCCTATGGGCGATCTTCACTGGACGATGAGGTATTTTCCCCATTGGAACGCATGAAACCGGGTTGTAATGCATTCCAATGGGGAAAGGGTTTTCGCATGACAACGATTTTGCTAAACAGCGATTTTCATGGGACGGGTTATCGTCATCATGCGGGGCACCACTGTACCTAGATTGCTCTGCCCCCTCCCCGTGTGTCGCCTGCATAATTAGATTGTAAAACACCCAGGGAGTGCTTTAAGCACTGTGGGGTACTATATAAACAGCACACGTTGCTTTTAAAGACTAACTGCTATATTTTAATGTGAGCTTTCATGGACCAAATCCACTTCCCAAGTTGCCACAAAATTTTTGTCATTTTGTTTTCTCTAGGTTTTGGTTCCCTGCCTCTGTTTCTACATTTATTTATGCTTTCTTCTCTTCTTTTGGTTTGAAATTGTATTTTTAAAATATTTTATACTTGCATTCATTTCATGTTTTAATTGTTTCATTCAGTTTTATTACCACCTCCTTTGAGTCTCATTGTTAGAAGAAAAGACAGGATAGAAGAAATCTAAAGAAATTAGAAGAAAATACATCATTGAAATATTCATTCCTAACCCTTCTTTCTTTTCAAAATGGATCACAGGCAGCTAATAAAGTTTAAATCAAAACTGATGGAGGGGGGAGAGGGAATATAATTTTCTTTAGCATGCAAGGTAACCCAGAGTGTATTTGGTGTTTTTTAAAAGGTAATTTATCACATCACTACTTCAGTTTTTCACTAACCTTTGAATTGTTAAGAGAATGGCATAAAACCTGAAAAATACCACCTATTATGTCTCTTTTTGAAAAGGTAATTTAAAGCCACTAACAAATAATGAGAAAAACATTACTCATGGCTGTGAACTCTGGGGAAATAGTAATAGTTTGAGAAATACTGTATATCATATGTCCTTAGAGGAACAAATCACTGAACAAATGGTGTCAGCAGAGTATGAAAGGAATGAGCATGGAATTAAACAACTTCCTACAATGAAATGGAAAAATGGAAAGGACCTTGGTTGTTTTCTAGAGCCGTTTGCTCAGTTCTCCCGGTTTCCCTCATAATAAGAAAGGTGTCTTGGTTTGTTTGAAGGAAACTTTGAAGCCTCTTGCCTTCCTCTTTTATGACTCTGAAAAAAGAAGAGGAGCAAGAAGAAGAAGAATTAGAATCGGACACTCCTCCTCTCGTTGTTCCTCTTCCACACGTGAAGACAGCCAGAGAGAGGAAGAAGTCAGAGAAGGCGAATTCTTCACAGGAAATAAGATGCTTGAAGAGGCCTGCACAGAGTGAAAGGGGTAGGTTGGTGGCGTTTGCGCAGCTGCTTCAGCTGCAACTCTGGAGATCTGTAAGAAGAAAGCTTGTGTTTCGATGAAGAAATCTCAGGCATTAGGGACAAATTAAGCCCGTTCTTGGGTTCCCAATCCAGCCCTGTGGGGTTCTCCAAATGGCCATGCTCTCTTCGCCTTAACATCGTTTGGCGGTTTCCCAACCGGTCTGCAGGTTTTACAGATCTGAAAATGAGTTCCTTTTCTCAGGTACAACCACATGCCATAAAGTCCATTCTGAGGTACCGCATTCCAACGTGGTTTACCATTCCCTTCTTCTGTGCCCTGGGACTGCTATGTAACTGGCTCAAGGCTACACAGGCTGGCTCTGTCCCCCAGAGGCCGTTGCAGAGTTTTGCATTTCTATAAAATTCACTTTTTGCTGCATAGTAGAAGTACTGTACACAGATCCACCAAGGAGGATAGCTAGAATTTCCCCGGAGTCCACCTTTCTCTCATTAATGGACACTTGGAAGTCTCAATAACTCACGCTGAGAAATTTGTAAGAGAAAGAATTTTAAAAAGTTTCTTTACTAATAATTGCTTGAAATCACAGACTTGTGTATACCACTTTCTTCACTGAAACACATACTAGCAACCAACCACATCGATCAATAGCAACAAACAACTGCTACCGACAGAGAAGAGAGGGATAAAACACTCAGCAGAGAGTAGATTTCAAAAGCTGAAATGAATGTTTGGTTAGTGCTGGATAAATAATCACCCCCAGCCCAGAAAAGTCCCTCACAGTAGCGCAAACCACGCAAAGCCTGCGAGGGTTGCAGCTTGAATTTCAACAGAAGCATAAGGCTCTACTCTACTATTTGGTCTCACCTATCCCTGCCCTGTGGTGCTGGAGGAGACTCTTGAGAGCCCCCTAGACTACAAAGAGAACAAACCTATCCATTTTGAAGGAAATCAACCCTGAGTGCTCATTGGAAGGACATATCTTGAAACTGAGGCTCCAATACTTTGGCCATCTGATGAGAAGAGAGACTCCCTGGAAAAGACCCTGATGTTGGGAAAGTGTGAAGGCAAGAGGAGAAGGGGACGACCGAGAATGAGATGGCTGGACAGTGTCACCGAAGCGACCAACGTGAATTTGACCAAACTCCAGGAGGCAGTGGAAGACAGGAGGGCCTGTCATGCTCTGGTCCATGGGGCCACGAAGAGTCCATGGGGTCATGAAGAGTCAGACACACTTAACGACTAAACAACAACAACAACATCCCTGCCCTGGGGAAGTGAAACTGCATTCATTCCTTGGGCTGAAAAGAGGCCCCCTCCCACTTGGTGTGTGACAGAGTTACACCATATGCACAGCAAAGAGATTGGGGCCAAAAAAACCCCGCTGCTCAGATGCCAAGCGTTCCTTTTGAAAGGTAACGTTTCAAACTCTGTTCTTAACTAGACAAGGCTACTGAGCAGGCACAAGTGGGACAAAGAGTGAGGAAAAAACTGATTTCTTATAATGCATCTTACAAATGTTTACAAACATATGACAGTAAAAACCAAATAATACTTCCTTTATCTTTGAGGAATAACAAGAATGGGATAAAACGGAAGGAAAAAATCCTATTAAAAATCCTTTAAATTATACAGGATACACATTGCAAATGCAACCCATGTGCACCCACTAGGCTGTTTTGCAGAAACGCTGCTGTTTCTGGAACACCCAAGAACTGCATGGTAGTTAAATCCAGTCTCCTAATAAATCAGTTAGATCAGTGGTTTCGGTATCTGACTGCCAAGCCAGAGGGTGGCAGTTCAGTTCTAGGAGTAGAGCCAGCCTGTGTAGCCTTGGGCAAGCTGCACAGTCCCAGGGAGCCCCCAGAAGAAGGGAATGGGAAATCCACTTCTAAGCATTCTCTACCTGAAAAGGATCGCCATAAGTCAGAATAACTGACTTGATATCTCATTATTGTTATTACCACAATAAATCAATATGTACGTAATGCAAAGGCACATCTCTCCAGGATTCTAGACAACAGCCAAAAAACAACAATCAGCAAACGTGCCTTTTAAAAAAAGTAATAAACAAATCCTAGAGACCCTGTTTTGATGTCGTGCCTTGCAGCAGGCATGAGGTTGTGGTCGATTGCCACACATCAATCAGGAGAAATAACACCGTTGATTTAACTAGGATCACCGGTTCTCTCGAGACTCAGTGAGTAAACCCCAGTTTCCTGTCTTGTACATTCAGCGTGTTGCTGAAGCAACGTCTGTATTTCTTTGGCTGTCCGTGGGCTAAAAAGGAGGACATGTCTTCCTTTTGCCTGACATCTGGCAACCTTACTCTATGGGACCCCCTTTATCCCACCAGATCCTTAGTCATCGCTTTTAGCGCTCCCGCAGGCCTGCACAGGCAGCCAGAACCGCAGAAGAGGATGTAGCCACACACACCCCCAAAGCCGTCCCTCAGCATTTTCGCAGAACTATTTATAGGGCAGGCACAGTAATAACGTTTCAAGTATTTTTAAACATGGGGATTTTTAAAAAAATTTCCTTCAGGGGCGTGGCTACCTCAACGTTCTTAGGAAGGATCGAATACACATGAATGTGGACCCTAAAACAGGCTTGGGGAAAGGAGGCAGACGCCCCACTGTGCCGCACAACAGGTGCGTAGAACGGGCAGACACACAATTGGCATTGTCAGCTGAGAGGAGAGGCTCAACCATACGGGGGTAGGCCGAACCTCACCCACCTTGCTCTACAACCAAACGTTGGAAAAGTTATTCATGAAGCCTTTCACGGCCAGGATCTAATGGTTGTTGTGGGTTTTTCGGGCTCTTTGGCCGCGTTCGAGTTTAAAGAGCCTGAAAAACCCACAACAAGCATTTGGAAAAGTTACCTTTTTTTTAGATTTAGCCTCCGTGGCCAGTGTAGTCATCTGTCATGCTGCCTGGGAACCAAAAATATATAACTTTTCTGTGTTTTGCTTCTAACCTCATATAAATTACCTCCTGTTATCTGAACCTAATAGGGTCCGAGCCAGGGTGAGGCCAGAGACCACATCACTCCTCTTGAAGCACTGATTTACACCACTTAAGCTCATAGACTAAAAAAGCTCCTTTTGGGGACTACAGTTACCAGAATCCCCTAGCTGGTATGGCTTTGGTGTTGGCTGAGGGAGAGTTTGTGATATTGGGAAACCTTTCTACATTTGGCTAACTTTTCTTCCTCCTTCTCTTCTTTTTCACTCCTTTTTCTTGAATGTTATCTGTTAGAAATCATCATCACGTGCTGTCATTTCTGACATATGGCAATGCTTTTCAGGGTTTTCCAGGCAAAGAATATTCAGAAGAATACCGGTATTTTCCAGGCAAAGAATATTCCCATCCCCTTCCTCTAGGGGGAGCCCTGGCACTGCACAGTTTTCCCAAGGCCACACAGGCTGGCTTTAGGAGGTCTCGCGGGGA